CACTCCCGGTCACCATCCCTTTCAATGCCCTTTGAATTGCCTGTCGTTTGGCAATGACATTAGCATGTCTTGTATGAATAGACATCGTAATCTATTAGTTAATTGGTTCCAAGAGCAACTTTAAGGTGTGAGAAGTAGCGAACTCTTACAGAAAACAGAAGCGACGTACATTTTACCTTTATTTAATTAAATTTAAAATCCAAGTCGTAGTGAGAAAAACCTTTATATACCGCTAGAACCATTCACGTGTACACTTACAGTTTATCCAATTGCTTTATAAATCATGATGTGCGACGAGTATATTCTATTTCGCAGGAACTTATTAGCATAATATTACAATTTGTATAAGATTCCACGGCGATTTTGGAGGTAATGGATCCTCCGAAAATATTCAGAATTCAAATTTTATGCAGATAATAAACTTGCGCATGAACTGTAAGAGCGTAACTCGGCTGAAAATTTGTGAGAGGCTTTCTTTATTTGATGGCAGACATACACCGAAGAGAAAAGAAGTGATGATACAAAGACAAGAAATAGGGTGGAAGTAGTTTGCCCTGCGTTACATGATTTTCACGCATCACGGCCTGTTTTTAGAATGACCTGTAGTTATATGGGACTGTGCAAGAACTTCGCTGTCTCCTACGTTAATAATTTGGTAAGTTTTTGTGGTTTCGTGCTATATAGTTCATCGCAAAACAGCTCAGAGCAGATCACATTCCGAGAGTGCTTGATACAGTTAGTTCATAATATTTTATCTTCTACCATGCTATTTACTAGCATGTTCCTGTTTTGAACGGGTGTAAAACTTGGTCTCTCATACTTAGGGAAGAACAAGTGAGGATTCTGGTAACAAGATGCTGAAGAGAAAATATGGACATGAGAGGGAGGAAGTAATATGAGGTTTGAGATAACTGCACAATTAGGCGCTTCATAATTAGTAACCTTAACTATAGGAGAGGTGCAAAATTCATAGACCTTTCGGTCGGAAAACTTGAAGGTGAGAGACTGCTTTAGGGACCTAGACATATACGGGAATAGCCTGTAATATTTAAAATTTCTGTCTTCTGACTTGTTCCGCCGTGTAGCCTGGTAGATGTCAATCAACGTTGTAGAGGTCATCCTGCCTCCGTCACCAGGGTTATCATCGCCCTGATTATGGAGGCAGCAAGGAACTCTGAAACATCGGTAATCATCTACCAGACTACACGGTGCAACAATCCAGATGACAGCAGTCTTCAGACTCACCGCCATGAAAACTTCAAATCCTACATAGCCTGTAATATTAATATGAATCTGTAAAAATTAAGGTGTGAGAATGTTCACTGGATCAGTATGGCTTAACACGAGGGCCAGTGGCAGACTCTTGCAAACACGGCAGTGAACCCTGTGTGTCCCATACGCATTCATTTCGTGGTGTTTCAGCACAGGAACGTTTACATTTGTAACAGTCTCCTTCTGTGAAATACCACAACTAAATAACTGTTCAAAGGAGGGGTCCTGTGATACAACATCCTACACCTGATTCATTATCAGAAATGAGTAATTTGTTGACTTCGGTTTATAAACATCGACGGAAGACAAAAACAGCTTCGAGGCGATGTCGACAAATTGCACTCAGCAGTCTGGAACGATGTGTAATTGTCTTTAAATCCCAAAATTCATCGTTTTCTTGTTTTGTGTTAGAACAGTCACTAGCATGCTCAGACAACATTACAAATGAATAGGAATACACACTCTTTACTACTGTAAGACTCCCCACCAAGCGAACCAGAGTTCAATACCCGGCCAGACGATGTGGAATTTTTGGTTGTCAAGTTGGCTTGAAGCAGGTTTTCTTGGAGTTCATCTCCCTCGGCGTGCTTACTCTGCCAGCTGTTCGCCTTGCCCAACAGTATAGGCGTAAAGCAACGGATAAGCCAAGTTTCGCGGTGGTTTCTATCAGAAATAAACGGAAAAAGTAAGAATTTAAGAGACTGCACGCCTTAGCAGTTTCTCAAATCGAAGCCGGAACTATACCTGTAAGAAACCTAACGAATCAGTTCATCACAATTTCATTTTATATACTGTACACGAGACGTTTTTTCACTTCTTGCCGTATTGAATCTCATTTTGTCCATAATTTTCTGACCATTTAATTTATTGACGTCGAATTCTAGCGCGTCTCGTATTTCATATAATTCAACGTAGCAGAGTTGTCACTAAGCAACAAATAGTCACTCGGCTAGTCAAAGAATGGACCAGTGGACCCTATCCCGAGCCAGCTGAATCTAATCTTCCCATTTACACGTAGGATGTCATCCAAGTGTTCTGTTTCCTTGAACATTTCGCTGTCAGAGCGTTAATGAACTCTGGTTACCCATTCACAGCATGTTCTTAGCTACGTTATTGGCAACAATCTGATATGCACTTTAGCAACAGAAGAAAGGATGACTCTGGTGGACCCACTGTTTCAGCTGCAGTACTTGGCAAAGCTCCCACCGAGTGGAATGAGGTCAAAACCTGGTTCATCCACACGTTACCTCTGGACAGAGCTAGGACAAGTTTTTATCGAGGTTTTGCCCATCATACACAAAATTCTCCGTTATTAGAAATGGAATTGACAATATTCTAGCTAATACAACTAGAAACAATGTGGTAAAACTGGTGCGTTGTTAAAAGTTTTTGAATTAATGTCAATGCGTTTGGCTTAAGATCCACGTCATAGGTTAGAATAATCATTTAATCGTGTTCATAATTCTGAGTACAGATGTATGTTACTTCTGTTTCGGTCACGAACTGAAGAAACGTTTTAACGTTTCCAGTGGCCGACAACTAAAACTCTCCTGCTCGAACCAGTGACGTCCTCTGATGAATATGGATCATCCGACATTTTTAAGCAATTATTTATATCCGGTCCCTTCACACGTTTCGGCTGGACATTTCACGAATTGTAAATCCAAACCTGCAGATCTCCATAAGCTTTGCCGAATATCTTCCTCCTCGAGAACGATGTTTCTGAACTCGGTTTTACAGTGTAATATAAGGGGCTTTTATCGTACTTCTCTGTTAGCGTTAGCTCCAACTGTAGGGATTCTATTGTTTTGCCGAATCTTACCATTAATTAAAAGACAGACGAATATACGAACATGTTTGCACGTTTTAAGTGGGCTACTAAATGCAGTTATGCGTGGTGATTATGTAATTCATGAATGTAATTAAACCCATGAAACAGATTCCTTGAGATACCAACGCTAGCTTTGCTCAACTACTCGGATTCCCCTGTATTTTATAGAACCCGAAAGATTATTACCGTGTTCACAAGTGCCAGTCACTGATACCGATCCTAAGCAAGATGAATCCAATCCTCACCCTTAACTCTATTTTCGTAAGCTTAATTCGGACCAGAATTTTAGCTGTACTAATACAGACACGTACTAAAGTAAAATTCTAGTATCACATATCACTGTGATGACTACAAAGGATTCTCATAACTTCTGTAAAAAATAATGTATTTGTTTAAACAAACTATTTCATGTTAACAATTAAAAATAGATACTTTATACATTTTAACGATGTAAATAATAATTTTTACGGATTATGGTTGGCCAAAACGTTGCAGCCTGCAAACCGGTTCCTATTTAATGTCTTCGTTCCTTAAGGCATGTTCAGTGAAATTTCGTATATCTGTAAAAAAAATATTGCCTTAGGCTGTAATCATCTTATTTTTAAGCGTAATACGATGTGGGTATTTTATTATTCTGCGATGCCTATCAGATGAACCTAAACCATTTTAATTTCTGATGTATAATTTCATTACATAATATGAAAGTTGCCGGCACTAAAAAGTTGATACAGTTGATACAGCGTGATAACAGAAAGTCTGCTGTGACAGAAGCCAGACACTCGAATTCGAGTCGATTAATTCCTTATCTGACTTCAGAACTTCATAACTCCGGAATGTTAAAAGACAGTCGTGTTTCGTAATTTGCCCTGCGCCCTCGTTGAATTGTTTTGGTTCTACCGGAATGTGTTTTTGCTGGAATTATCAGCTGCTATATACACCTCACGACCTGTGACCATAAAGCGACTAAAATCTGATGAAGCAGTATCCACGATAATCTGTAGCTCGAGACACGCGCGCCCTGCTTTTACCAAATCCTCGGACCTGTAACTTATCTAGATTTCTCCATTAAATGCGTGTCATGTTTTCTACGTACCTCATTGAACCTCATCATCCTGTGTTATTTCCGGTTTATTTAATGACGCTTCAAATTAAATGACGATTAGTCAATGATGAACTCGAAATTGTACAGAAGGAAAGGTCTGATCTAATTTACGGGACCAGAATTCTTCCCTAATGGAGTCTCTGTCACTATAGTCGGTCTCGAGAACGAGATTTTAAATCCAAAATACATGCCTTTCTTACATTTGATTTAACGTTATTTTTAAAACAAAACCTACCCGCAGTATTCAATATTTCATCCACTGTTAACATTGAAATTTCCTTTACATAACATTCTTAGCTATTATAACGGCTTACTAGATACGTCTATCGTCTGCTTATATGTACACCAAGTTAATTGATTCTGCATTTCAGGCTTGTTTTCCCCTCTTTACAACCAGCATTATCCTTTGCTACGTATTTTAAATTCTGCCACTTTGATAACATGTTTGTGATATCGAAATAATGAGCGCATGCGCCCTACAAAATAATTATGACACTCTTCTACTACTGCTGCTGCTTCCCAATGCAAGAACGATGACGAATGAAGTAAAAGGGTGAATCATACTGAAAAGTAACCCCCCAGTCATGCTCGTGGCCAATATAATTTGCGATAACTGCAGATAGGGGGTGAGGCGGCCAGTCCATTCATATCTTTGTGGAAGGGGTGAAAAAGGCAACATCAGCGGTTCCGTGTTGTCTGACGGTGCCAGAGCAGAGCACGAGGCAGGAAGCAATTCCGCTGTTGCTGGATGGCATTCCCCTTGTGTCAGTGGAGATGATTATTGATTGTACTTACCGTCGTAGTTGCGACGTTAGTACTCCCTCCAACAGCCAAAAATATCGTCGTCTAAACGTTCCACACTTTCACGAATACACATGTAAGAAATTCAGCATACCATTTCTCACCTCCGGTGTCTGATTTCCTTTGGGTATGCTTGTGGTCATTCAACAGTGTAATAACCTCAATGCATAAAATAAACTGAAACCTTCCATCAAACGAACAATAAACACAACCGCGAGAGAGTAAAAAAAATAAAAATAAAAACTGCCTTGGCGTGAGGATGCGCAGCGAGAGCGGAGCTATATAAATTTCTATCGATCGTGTGTATGGGGCTTACATTTTCTATCCTCTACTCAATGAGTCACACACCACACTGACACTTGCAACCAATATTTCTTCTAGCTTCTCTTCACTGAAACTGTTTTAATTCACCACGACACTCACCCCCTCTCCCTGTCAATGTAATCTGTGATACGATTTGTGTGTCACCACGCTTGCTGACAGCAGCACTTCGGTTGCTGGCTCGCTCTGCTCTGCTCTGGCTTGCTTATGCAAGCGCTTCAGTGCCAACCCTGAGCTCGCAGCAGCAAAATCTCGACTGGACTGACTGGGGTTTTCGTTCCAGCTTCGTCCGCCTGACGCTAGGCTGCCGCTCTCTCGCTCACTCGTTCGGCTCCGGCCCTCGCAGGGTCTCGGGAAGCCCGCACTAGTTCGTTCCCTCTTCGTCGTCGACGTCCTCCACTTCGACGCCGACGTCGGTCGCGGTCGTTGGACTGTCTACCTGCCTGTTTATCGTTGCGCGCGACTCTTTCTCTCTCTCTTCAGTATTCCCGCAACTGGACGGAACCCGACCGACCAACAGAGCGATGGACAAGTAGTAGTTACTCTAGTAGTGGACCCTGTAGAATGTTGATGATGGTTTCTTCTCTTCTCATTTCATCTACTCTCTCTTCTCCTGATGCTGGTCTAGAATCGACTCTGGACCTGCCTTCCAGGACCAGGTGACCATTCGCAGTTTATCTTCCACTTCGCTAGAGCAGTAGCATAGTAAGTGTTGGTGCAGTGAATGCAAAATAACAGACGACAAATAGTCTCCCTGATGATGGAGGCAGCAAGGACCTATGAAACGTCGGTAAATTTCTACCAGACTACACGGCGCAAGAACATTTTTACTCTTTCAATTTTGACAGTCGGTGGAATTTTCGGACATTGACTTTTACACTGCACTGTATTTTGTAAACCAGTGGAACTATTAAACACCAGCGAGCACTAATTCTACAGCCTCATCGTAACAATTTAATATCCGATAGTGTCGCTACGTGGTCTTGCCCTCCATCCCACGTGTGTATTTGTTACGGTCATGGAATCTGGGAGTGGCTTGTGTCCACTGTATTTGTGTAGCTTTATTTACCAGTCTCATTTGTTTATCGTCCCGTTACAATGTAATACTCTTCATTGTTATTTAACTTCTTGTTCATGACGTTCATCTCTCTCTTCATGTATGGAAAGTAATACATCACGTGTTATATATATATAGCATCATCAAAGCGTTTGGGTTTGTCCTATCCGGAGAAAACATACGTTAATTCGCAAATGCATGGCTGCTTGTATTTGAAATTTGTTGTTAACCGCATGGCGAACTTCTTGTAATTCTCAGTTTTGTCGTTTGGAACGTTGAACTCTTTGACATAAACACGCCTTTCTGCAGAAATACTATTTCTTGGTGGCTGAAAGCTGAGAAACATTTGGGGTGCGGAAGAAGCCTTTTCTCCTGGATCAATAACGCTTAGGCTTTGGAAACTCATGTGGAGGTCACGAAAATGAATTTGCTCTAAATTGTTAAGGCTTTTTTTGCCATTTTCCTTGTGAATGGATAATACAAGAATGGTTTGTGGAAGTTTTCATATTGGCACACAAGACGTTTGAATAGGGCCTTTCTGTTGAGAACGTACGAAGAATAAAACTGAATTGGAAATGATGAGTTTGAGTCTTTGTTTCCTCTTGCAAGCTAGGCTGAATCAAAAACCGGCCTTGCTAAGCTTTCGAAAAAACATCGTTTTAAATATCTGTGGCTGTTTATGAAACAAGCACTCTTCGCTGAGCGCATTACATACCCTACATCCCCAAACATATAGGTCCTATACCCGTACGTTCCACAGTATTTGCTGTTGAACACAGCTCAGGTGTATGGATAGAAAATAGTGTAATTTTCTAAGATGCAAGTCCCACTTCTGCGGACAAAGTATCTCCTGGCGAGCCACGTCTCATAAGAAATGGGAAGAAACAAGATAGCTGCCTTCATCTTCCAGACCAACCCCCTTTCTGCTTACTACAGTGACTATTGACTTTTTGTGCCGAGACCGCCACAACCATCATCCCTCGCTGTCAGTCAGCCACCTGGTAGTCCATCCATCTGCCTGTGCGTTCATCCTTCACTCAGTTGTGTAACGTATTCATTCAGTCACTGGTTATGCGCCTCGTCGTAAAAACTTCGTCATTTCATGGATAGCCATTTAAGATCGTCGCGGCTTCGTGCCCCTTATTCTGTGTTCGCCTCCTCCTTAACATTGGAATCCACGGGCTGGTTTTAATGAGGGGGTGATGCAGAATTACGACATACGGTGGGAAATTTCTTTGAAATAATTTAAGATTGTCTTTCCAAAAGAAATAATGGTTTTGTTACAAGTTGCGAAAATTTATGTTGAAGTGGAATGGAAATCGACGCATTTGTTTGTAGTAGTAGCCCTATGTTTCTCCAAGACGTCAGTATCTATCTACAAGTCCTCACTGCATTACTACCCAGAGGACATCAATGATGAGATAATTTAAATTTGTAAAAATTATACCTAATTTTATGAACTTTTTCAAAAATACATGGCATTATTTTAATTATGCCTAATGTTTCAGTATGTACAAATAACTTCTTGAGAGGTCTCAAAATAACAGAGACCTTAGTTTAGACAAAGTTCGAAGATATCTGTAATACAAAGACGAAATATGCATGAAGAAGTAAATGAACCAAGGTTTACACGTATAATGTACATGTTACAGTGGGCGTGAAAATTTACTAAAGTTGAAATGGAACCTGAAATTACTATAATATTAAATACAACGTGCACTACATTATAAAAATAGACAATTACGACGTCACATTTTAATAATTAAAAAATACCTAATAGTATGTACAGGTCATTGTAGGATCCTGACCCGCATGCGTGTATGTTGACTTTCGAATGTTTATTATTCCATCGTGTGAGTCTTTTTAGCAGAAAATTCGTTTCTCTACTGGATACTGGGAACGACCCGTTCTTCAAGTGCCTGAGCACTGCGGGTCCCAACTTTTCGTTGGCTCGATCTATGGACATTCGGTAGGACTCCTTGGACGAGGGATTGGCCCGTCGCAATGCCTCGACCTGTACACAGGACAGCACAACATAGAAAAACGCGGACAAACATCCATGGCTTGAGTGGGATTCGAACCCACGGTCCCAGAGACCAAGAAGCACAAGGCCCACACCTCAGACCGCGCGGCCAATTGTGACCCCACTCATTTCTCAACGACACCAAAATATCAATATTAAATACACATAAACTACAGAAAAGGAAATATTAGAATAAAATGTGTTATTCTGATTTATTTATTAGAAAATCAGACAAGTCTGTAATCAAAACATGGTTTTAAAGCACCGAAAGAGGACACAGCTGTTTTCTATTCAGTTTTAATTTTTTTATTAAACCACCTAATCCTCTCACGTAGCTCTTATTCTAGCCATATGCACCGCAAGCGATTATATAAATTAATATCTGGAAAACCAATCGAATTTGTGCGCTGTTTTGGGGAGTTAAATTCTAAAATTTATCTTCTGCATTTCAGGATCTTTTGCCATTATAAAATAACTAAGCATCTCTGCCATTTATACTAGTAGTATATAAGTAGCTTCTTGAGCTTATAATTGACTTTTGTTTATGATAATGAATTATAGTACACCTGATATCCTAACAAGTGGTGAGAATATTTGAAACGAATAATCGAAAATTATTATCATAAAAATATCTTTTGTCATGAATAAGTCGAGATTTGGAGTTTATAAGGCGGTAACTGTTTCTGCTTTGTTACGCCTGTGACAGTCGTTTGTCAAAAATGTACCCCCACCCCCATCCATTTTTAGGATAGAAGACCGAATATGTATTTCCCCCTTTCGATCTGAAAAAGAAGGAAGATACGTCTTTAAAAACATAGTAATTTTTTTTTAGGGTTTTAAGATTGTAAAAACTTAGACTGAAGGCAATGGATAAAGGCTAAAGCAAAGAAATTAGTAATATAATACCATCACCAAAGACACTCAGAGAAGAACCTACAAGAC